ATACCTCCTGCAAATAAATACACTTTACTGCTAACGATAATAGCTCATAACATCACACACAGATTCAAAAATGAGCAGCACCCCCACCACCAAGAGCAAGCCTATCGTCCTCGAGCACTGGTTCCTCGGCCGCCTGTGGCTCATGTACGACGAGGAGAAAAGCGCCTTCTTCTGCACCACGTGCTCTGCCACCGGGCCGAGGTCGTGCATCTTCCACAAGGGCAACAAAGGATATACCCCGGGCGTCTCGGGCAAGTTTTCCCTCGACCGCATCGTCGACCACGGCGACAGCATCGGCCACCTCAAGGCCGCCGAGACGCTCCGAGCGAAGTCGGCCTTGGAGTTGGCCTTCCAGCGCAGCGGCGAGCAGGAGCAGAAGAGCATGGGCGCAGCGGCCGGCGAGTCGGGCGCCGCCGACTACACGCTCTGGCATTCGCACGCGCTGCGGTGCGGCTACTTCATTGCCAAGCACAGTCTGCCCTACTCGATGATGGAGCACATCTGCGGCCTCGTGCAGACCAGCATCAACTCGTATGCGGGCAAGCAGGCCTTCTCCACTGCCAGCGGCACCTACGGCTCATACTGCTCGCGCGACAGCGCAGTCGACATGGTGGAGATCTGCAGCACGTCCATCTTGGAGAAGACCGTGCACGAGATGCGCGAGGCCAAGTTCTTCTCGATCAGCTGCGACGAGAGCACGGGTCTGTCGACTGCGAGAGGGCCTTCTCTCTGCAAAACAACATCAAGACCGAGGAGCGGTCGCTCCTCACGTGCAAGCAGTTGAACGCGCTTATGGTTTGCGCCCGCGACGGACCAAAACTCAGCAACTTTGATGCCGAAGACAACATGAAGCGCTGGAAGAATGCGAAGAAGAGAAAGTACATTTGCTCGTAATCACGCTCTGCCTTTGAATAAAGTACATTTGCTCGTAATCACGGCTCTGCATTTGAATAAAGTATGTGGTTCTTGTGCGGAAATGTGGAAATCATATATTCATTGCAATCAGTAGCTCAAAGCCCTGCGTGATGTTGGGCCTTGCATATATCCTTTCCAATAGAACGCATTAACGTGTTGTTAAAAGCGCGCGGTCACAGGAGTAGTCTTTCCACCGTTTGCGGTTGACATTAGCAGAAATGCGGGAAAATTGAACCCTCCTTCCGCATTTTCCATGCCGAAATCGCAACCCTGGATACTTGTGTTTTATAATCACTAGTTTTCAAAATTATGTAAATTAATGGTGTCCAAGACACGGATCTGTGTTTGTTGTTAATCAAGAATGGGGAATATATCTCTGTTCGATCTCATTCGCTTTGCTGTTGATGCTATTGTTGTAGTAGCTGCTGCTGTTGTTGCTGTAGCTGCTGCTGCTGTTGTTGTAGTAGCTGCTGCTGTTGTTGCTGTAGCTGCTGCTGCTGTTGTTGTTGTAGTAGCTGTTGTTGTTGTAGCTGCTGCTGCTGTTGTTGTTGTAGCTGCTGTTGTTGTAACTGTTGTTGTTGTAGTAGCTGTTGTTGTAGCTGCTGCTGCTGTTGTTGTAGTAGCTGCTGCTGCTGTTGTCGTATTAGCTGCTACTGCTGTTGTTGTTGTCGTAGTAGCTGTTGTTGTTGTTGTAGCTGCTGTTGTTGTTGTTGTAGCTGCTGCTGCTGTTGTTGTAGTAGCTGCTGTTATTGTTGTTATTATAGTAGCTGCTGTTGTTGTTGTTGTAGTAGCTGCTGCTGTTGTAGTAGCTGCTGTTATTGTTATTATAGTAGCTGCTGTTGTTGTTGTTGTAGCTGCAGTTGTTGTTGTAGCTGCTGCTGTTGTAGTAGCTGCTGTTATTGTTTATTATAGTAGCTGCTGTTGTTGTTGTTGTAGTAGCTGCTGCTGTTGTTGTTGTCGTAATAGCTGCTGCTGTTGTTGTTGTTGTTGTCTTAGTAGCTGCTGTTGTTGTTATCGTAGTAGCTGCTGTTGTTGTTGTTGTCAATGTTCGCTTTTGCTGTTGTTGTAGCTGCTGTTGTTGTTGTAGCTGCTGTTGTTGTAGCTGCTGCTGCTGTTGTTGTAGCTGCTACTGTTGTTGTTGTAGTAGCTGCTGTTGTTGCTGTTGTCAATGTTCGCTGTTGCACGCTACAGCAAGTGCGTGCGCGTCGTGCGCGTAGACGCGCTGTTCACCACGCAGGTGAGCGGGCAGCAGGCAGAGATGGCTACAGCCGCTCGCTGTCGGCTGTAGCGTCACACTCACGGAGGGGAGGGGGAGCGGGGCAAACTACTCGGTCCACCGATGATGAGACTGGTGGATTGCTCGAGTGGTGTGTGTGTGTTTAGCACGAGACTATAAAAAGATAAGGCGATTGTGGGCCGCGATAGGCTGAAATCGATGAATGCGTGGGGTGGGGTGGCAAATAATGATTTGTTTATTTCCGTGGCCCACATTGAGACAATATCCGAATCGACGAATACGTCTGTGACACACACAGACACACACAAAGACACGTCGGCTTCCTATTGTTTGAAGCACGTCGGTACAAATCTCCGCATGCATCAATCACTCTGTCGGTCGCGTTAGTTATTTGTCTGTAATATTCACCGCCTTGTTTATTTACCATCGCGCTCAGCAAAGTGGTGGTGGTGCGGGTGGGGTGGTCATCACCGGCCCCAAGCACCGCTTAGACGTCTGCCCGCGATTTAACACGCAGTGGGGACGCCACGTGTACACAAGTGTAATAAAAGGACTCGAACACTTCTTTCTGTCTTCGTGTCTTTATTCAGGTTCACGTCTTTACCCACACGGCACTCTGTTATAACTCCTGTGTTTGTAGCCCCCGGCTATTCACTGCTATTATAGCTTCATCTCCCCTCTGACTCTCTGCTTCATCTATTGTAACCTCCTCCCTGCAGACTTGCTGCTACCCCTATGTGCAGACCCTCTGGCTGTCACTGTATGCAGACCCGCTGCCCACTCTCTCTGTGCAGCCCCGCTGCCGACTGCAGCCTCCTTGCTGCTTCGGGTCGGTCACCGCTGGCCTACGGTGCCGATCCTCGCTTCCCCCGTGTTCGTGGCGATCTCGCCACACCCCGCTTCGCCCTACGTGGCCTTCCTCTGTTCCTGGCTCCCCGTCACCCCCCCTGCTCTTCCGGTTCCCCTCCTTCTATACTCAACCCCTCTCCCCCCACGTGACCTAACTCCTCCCCCCCCTGACGGCACCTCAGAAGGGCCGTTTACAACCGCATTACACAAGTATGACGACGACAACAACAACAACAGCAGCAGCTACTACAGCAATAGCAGTAACAGCAAAGCGTGCGTGTCTATACAATGCATCAAAGACTAATGCAAGAGACCATCACCCTCTCACCGTGTGTGTCGCCTCCGACAGAGTGTTGGGGCGAGTTCACGTCTGCAGGCCCCAACACGGTGTGGGGAACACCCACACGGGGCCGTCTTTGTTTCCCCAGCGAGGCACGGCAGCGGTTCAGATGCACGCCACTGATGGTGGCCGTGAGCGGGGATCGAACTCGGGTTGCTGGGTTCGTGGCGCGGTTCGCGAACAACCGCAGCGCCACCGCTCTCCGTTCACAAAGACAAATATCCCCCGGGTAGCTTCAGCACACTTTCGGGACAAGTGCCCATAGTATAAACAGCACGCGCGGTATTCATGGAGATAACCCAAAAGACGATTGGGATACACGTGGTTCTGTGGTCTGTTCCAGAGGACGCAAGAACGCATATCCTTGCCAGCAGAATGTGGAATTTCCACAACCGTGTATTATTATGAATATTATTATGAATATTATGAATATTCGCAAGCGTTTTAACGACCCTTTGGCACGCGGCCTTTGAGTGCTCTGTTGTTGAACCGTGTGCGTGAAAGCGACACATTGAGACAATGCCCCCACTTGTAATTCTCATTTCAACTCGCACAAAGTGTACGCGTATAATCGTATATACACACACACGCGCGCACTGTATATATATATAAATATTGTCGGGGATATGTTACAATGGATCTGCCGACATACTTAAGTGCCAAACAAAAGCGCACGTTTCAACACACCACACAGAGTGACTAACCACTTCACCGCCATCCCTCAAGGGCAAGAGGTGGTTTGTCGCCTTGGCCGCCTTTGTCTCTCCACTGTTGATGTGCAAACGACGTTCCATTCGAAACGAATGCACACGCGCGAATAACTCGTGCACGACAGCACACAAAAGCGCAAAGATGCCCCCGTGTATAGGCTTTGACCAGACTGCCGGGGTAAGTGCTGTGAGCGAGAAACTAAATGAAGGACAACGCAGCACAGGAGGGGGGTAGGTGGCCAACGCCATGCCAGGCCGCCTTTGTCTCCCCAATGCTAGTGTCTGCATACACACCGCCACAGGTACTCATTTAAGACTAAGTCGACCGTGTTTAGATAATCGTCACAGATGTTTACACACCGCACCAGGTGCTCATTTGAGGCTGAGTGGACCTAGGGGAGGCCCAGGACCGGTTCAGATAATCGTCACTGAGTGTGTTGGCCGTGGCTGGGAATCGAACTCGGGTCACCGGTTTCATAGCGCAGCGTCGCGCTAACGGCTACACTACCGCTCTCCGCACGACATCACAAAGACAAATATAAAGATCCCCCGTAAAGCCTGTAACAGACTGTAGGGGCAAGTGCTGTTAGCGAGCACCTATGAAGGCCGGAACGGTACACGAGGGGGTGGGTGGCCAGCGCCACGCCCGACCGCCTTTGTATCCCTCGTGGCGATGTTTACACACCGCACCAGGTACTCATTTGAGGCTGAGTGGACCTAGGGGATGCACAGGACGGGTTCAGATAATCGTCACTGAGTGTGTTGGCCGTGGCTGGGAATCGAACTCGGGTCGCCGGGTTCATAGCGCAGCGCACGACATCACACGCACGCACATGCTTAACGTCTGTGTCACCCCCATCCACTCCCCCATCTTCTCCTCTTCCACCTCCTCCGTGTGACCCTCTTCTCTCTCTAAAACGCTGCCCACCCCCCCGCCCCTCAACCGCAGGTGCCGACGGCAGCGCCGAGAGCCTCCTGCTGCACAGTCCGTTCGCGCGCAAGCCGAAGCGCATCCGCACGGCGTTCTCGCCCTCGCAGCTGCTGCGTCTGGAGCACGCGTTCGAGAAGAACCACTACGTGGTGGGAGCCGAGCGCAAGCAGCTCGCCAGCAGTCTCAGCCTCAGCGAGACGCAGGTGCGAGCTCGCGCGCGCGCGCACATACAACAACAAACACCACCAACAACAAACAAACACCAACAACAACAACAAACACCATTACCACCAAGCTGACAGCCGTGAGACAACGACAACAACGTCACTCGCCGTGATGGCAGCGCTTGTGCCAGGCTGCAGGTGCACGTTGAGGCTGACGTAGAAGTGGCGTAAGGCACTACCACTAGAGTGCGAGTTACGGCTAGCAATAATCGAAGTTCATATATATAAAATAAATACATTGATGCGTGGACTCACAACAAGGCGAGATTGATGTGATTGATAATTCCTGGAATAATGATTTTGAATTTTTCTGAGTCGACCAAAGAGAGGAAGGCCCAGCACTGGTTCAAACAATCGTCGCTGGTGTTGGCGGTGAGCGGGGAATCAGACCCCGGGTCGTAGCGCAGTGTGCGATTGCCACTCCCTATTTGGCTACCACTCCCCACTTGCACTTCTAAAAATCCTCCGTGTAGCCTTAACAGACTGTGCTGTTAGCGAGCGCCTTTGAAGGCCAGTACGGCACACGAGGGGGTGGGCGGCCAACACCACACCCGGCCGCCTTTGTCCTCCCCAGTGATAATCTTTACACAGCGCACCAGGCATTAACTCAAGGCTGAGTCGACCTAGGAGAGGCCCAGGACCGGTTTAAATATTCGCCAATCTTAATGGCCGAGAGTGGGAATCGAACTCGGGTGGCCGGGTTCGTTGCATGGTGCGCTAACCCCTGTGCCACGTATACAAATATCCCCCATATAGGCCTTAACAGACTGTAGGGGCAAGGGCAGTTAGCGAGCACCTATGCAGGCCGGAACGGTACACGAGGGGGTGGGTGGCCAGCACCACACCCGGCCGCCTTTGTCTCCCTAGTGGCGATGTTTCCACACCGCACCAGGTACTCATTTGTGGCTGAGTCGACCTAGGGGTGGCTCAGGACCGGTTCAGATAATAGTCACTGGTGTTGGCCGTGAGCGGGAATCGAACCCGTGTCGCCGGGTTCATAGCGCAGCGTGCTAACCGCGACACCACCGCTCCCCACACACGTGTACACACACACACACGTGCACACACACACGTGTACACACACACGTGCACACACACACGTGCACACACACGTGCACACACACGTGTACATACACACACGTGCACACACATACACACTTGCACACACACGTGCACACACACGTGCACCAGTGATCGATTCAGTCGCCACGTGCAACCCCACGCGCCCTCGGCTGTAGACGGACATTTGTTTTCCATGTAAACAAACAAAAAACAACAACATTTTCCACTGCCTTGTTCAATCCACTGCTGGATTAAGCTATTCCCTAACCTTGTCGGGCGTGGAGGATTTGACCATACTTCACCAGGCTGGTTAGTGCGGGTTGATGACGCTGGAGGGAAGGAGCAGGACCCATTCAGATCATCACTCACCGCTGATGTTTAGCCCGGGCTGGGACTCGAACTCAGGTGTCTCCTGGTCTACAGCGCCGTTCGCGAAACCATTAGCTCCACTGCCCCATCCCGCATCTTGCACGGATATTGTATTTAAACCAGGCGAGAAGCCACCGCGACCACAAACGTCTCTATTGTTCAGGGGAGACTCGGGGTACAAAGCAAAAGAAGAGCCCAGGTGGTGGAGGCAACCAACATCATGAACCTGACGTCACTCAGGGGCATTGCAGCACTGGAAGCACCACGTGCAAGATGTGCAGCAGTGGGCTACGCGCGTGCAAGCGCTGCACACGTGCCACACGCATGCTTATGCAACTGGATGCATGTGCGTATATGTATGTTCCCGTGCACACACAAAAGACAAACATACTAAAAACAATCCGCCGTATAGCCTCGTGCTGTTTGCGAGCACCTATGAAGGCCGACCGGCATGGCACACGAGTGGGTGGGTTGGACAGCACCACGCCTTTGTTTCTACAACGCCGGTGTTTACACACTGCACCAGGTACTCATTTAAGGCTGACTCGACTGTGAAGAGTCCCACACCCCGTTCAGGTGCAAACGCTGTGCAAACAACCATTCACACACACACGCGCACAGTACACACGCGTGCTTATTACGCATGCAACACAATGTACCCACCAACACCGCGCACTAAGTAATCACCGGGACGCCCAGGTTGACCGTGTAGCGCAGTGGTTAGTCAACTTTACTGCGCTCTCTCAATCGTTACACAGACGTACAGCGTCAATAACTACATCGGGGTCTTGATGGAACAAAGTAGTCGTAAAGTCACGTAGAATGGAAATAATAAAATAATAAAAATAAAACATCATAAAATAATTCTCACGACGTTTCGGCCACAACGCAAGCAGCCAGTCCTCAGGTGAAGCACAGGTCTGTCAGAAAGACAGCGTCTGAATGAAAGCTTTAAATCGAAATAAAAGTAGTCGTACTTAGGTGCCCGCGCTTAATTTGTCTTTCGATGATTTACCTTCGAACATAAACAATCTGGCCACGTCCTCGCACCCCCCCCTCCCCCCCACGAAGGGCATTTGGCGCTCCCAGGCGCAGCGTGCACCCCAGGTTAAGAACCACTCCGTGCATCGCTCTGCCACGCGTGACCCGCACCGCGCGCGCGTAGTAATGCGCACAGTGCGCGCTGCGGCGGTGTAGCGGTTAGCGCCACGCTGCGCTACGAACCCGGCGACCCGGGTTCGCGTCCCGCTCACGGCCAACACCCGGTGACGATTATCTGAACCGGTCCTGGGCCTCTCCCTAGGTCCGACTCAGCCTCAAGTGAGTACTCAGTGCGGTGTGTAAACATCGCGACTGGGGAGACAAAGGCGGTCGGGCGTGGTGCTGGCCACCCACCCCCTCGTGTACTGTTCCGGCCTTCGTAGGTGCTCGCTAGCAGCACTTGCCCCTACAGTCTGTTAAGGCTATACGGGGGTTATTTGTCTTTGTGTGCACGTGGCACGCGCCCGATTACGAGTGTGCGTAGAATGCACTGCGTTCTACATTCACGTTCACACAATTGCTCTACGTACGCATCGTACGTGCTTTGTAATTACGATACGTATTACTTTGAGTCGGCATACGGATGCATTCTAGAAGGATCGATCCATCATTGCATTTGTTTTATAGTCTCGTGTACTGTGCCGCAGTATGATGATGTGTGGGTCAATATAACGGTGTGTTACGCCATCGACGATTACGACATTGCTATTGCAATGCATCTCTCGCGCCCTCCGTCTTTGGCGTTAGGCAGCAAAGTTTCGTTTCAATCTCCACAGCTGAGCCATACCCGATGCTTTTAGCGACCCTAAAGACTGCCACGCGAATGCAGCATGCGCGTATATGCACGTGTTGAAACGTGCGCAAGCATGCACGTGTTCAATACGAGACAGCGAACAGGATGAACGTTATAGCCGGTTCAGTGGTTACAATCGGCATTAGTATGTTATGCAGATTTCATTAGCGGGGGTGTTTCCGTGGCGCGGTGGTGAAGTATGGTCGAAGAACCCCCCCCCCCCCCCCAAAACAACAAAACAACGGCCTGGGGAAGGCCTTCATCCAGTCATCCAGCGCGATATTGACAAAGTGCCGAACTAGTTTTAGTAATCATTTATATTCTGTTATTGCGCATACAATTGACGTGCAATTAGTAGCACGTGGAGATATCGGTCATTTTAAAATTACGTGAAAATGAAGTCGTTTGATGAGCAATGTTCTTTTTTTTACATGCAGTATATACATGTACATGTATACCGTACTGCAGATCTTATCGCACGTAAATTGAGTGGCATCCCTTTGCGTGCATTGCATAACATTACTTTTGTGTATGCATGCATGCACGTGTGTGTGTTTGTATGTATGCATATATTGCTGCCACTCGCTAACAGCACTTGTCCCAACAGTCTGTTAAGGCTATACGGGGGATCTTTGTCTTTGTTGGCTGTGTGTGTGTGTGGTGGGGGGCGCTAGTGTAGCCGTTATCGTACGACACGACGAATCCAGCGATCCAAGTTCGATTCGCGCTCACGGCCAACACCAGTGACGTTTATCTGAACCGGTCTTGGGCCTCCCCTAGGTAGACTAAGCGTCGATTGAGTACCTGGTGCGATGCGTAAACATCGCCACTAGGGAGACAAAGGCGGCAGGGGGTGGTACTTGCCACTCACCCCCTCGTGTGCCGTGTCGGCCATCATAGGTGCTCGCTAACAGCACTTGCCCCAACAGTCTGCTAGAGCTATGAGGGTGATCTTTGTCTGTGTGTGTACAAATGTTAAATTAATTACAATACGAGTTGGGAACCCGGTCACCCCCCCCCCCCCCAGAAAATTTGCTGTACAACCTACAATTGCTTGAACGCGTCATAATAAGATGATAGCCACTTGGCAGTGTCCATAAATTACCTCTGCGGACTAGACAATGCGACGTTGCACATCGGGAAGGGGTGTGCAACGTATTCATGCGCATACCGTGATTGCCTCTTCAATTTCGCGTTAATCCGTAATTCCCTTTTATTGGGGGGGGGGGGTTAAATCATGGCTATCACAGGCGCGGTAGTGTTTGTTATAAATATAGTGTTATACATAAAGTGTTATAAATAATGTTATAAATGTACTGTCTTCAGTTCTAAGCCGGTATCCAAGCGGCGTTCATTTTCTCCGCCCGCTAATCACGACGGCGCGCCACTACGCGCGGCACATCGAGATTAGCAGTATTAGCAGTCCTAATAACTAACATAGGAGCCTCTTCAGTGTAATTTTTGCAAGGCAATTATCTCCTTCCGCTCGAACTCGCTTAGCGTGAAACGGAGAGCGAATTGCCAAATCGTTCGTAGGTTATATCGGAAAACGTGTAATATAATTACCCATTGTTCAATATCGCTCTCTTGTATATACTTGTGTATACATGTCGGAGCGGTAGTGTATTGGTTAGCGCGCTAACCGAATACCCGATGGAATAGTGTAAACACCGCCACTACTTAGTCGCGGTGCTGACCACCCACCCCATCCTCG